CTGATTTTTGTTGCTTGACTTCTAAATTAATATTTGTTTGGCATGTTATTGTATCTTAATTAGAAATTTGTTTCAATATGCAAACCAATAGTCCCACTAGTTTCTGCATGTTTTACCTGCCTCTTAACTTTTCAAGTCACTTGTCAATCTCTTGACTATGTACCTATGAGGTTTTACTTGATCGGATAAAAGTTAAATAGTCCAAAACCCCTGACAGACGTGAAGCAAATTATCACTATGTCTGAAAGTCATTATAGAGTCAGATAAAGGTACAAATACAGTCAAAAGTCGTTAATTCGGACACCCAAAATCCGAAATGATCTATAATCCGGACCTCAAAGCTACAAACTTTCTGCGCATACGTCGCATTGAGATTCCTCGTAGCTTTATGGCTGCGAATTGCTTGTGCGCGTGCGCAAAATACGTTTACGAGGCACGGTTAATGTGTAACGGACTGGATACGCTAGCTAAATTATCTAATATCTATATCTATTTCAGATAATTTTTCACATTGGGGTGTCCTTAATCGTCGCAAGATCACTTATTTTTTTGCAAACTGTTAGAGACCAATTTTATAAAGTAAGGCTGAACTTTCGATTATGTCAATGGACTTTCGATATATATTACTCTATGTAAAGGATCTACAAAGCAAAATATATTCGAAGTTCTAAACCAAAGGGAACGTGGCAATCCTTGGAGAAAGGCTATCCTCGTTTCTAAACTTTAACGTTGTTTACTAACTTTGTTATCTTAACGCGCTAATGATTGGAAGTTGTCTGTCAACACTATCCTATCTTAGGCAGTGTTTTTATTTTATTTGCTCAATTCTTCTAAAGTGTATTTCATCTCGTGTCTCCGGCTGATATTTTCCCTCGTCATTATATTCGCTTCCTAGTGAAGAAATTGACAGAGGTTATGAAACGAAAATTTCGATGACAAATATCGTAGACACAGCATTTAGCTTGACAGGGAACTTGTACTGAACAGAATTATGTCTGTTTATGAATTAAAGAGAATGTTTACACGTAAAAAACGAAGAACAACTTACATGAGAAATATAAAGAAACAAGAAATATTAAGCTTTTTTTTTGTAAATTTTGATACCCTTTAGATCATAATTGTTCTTTTTCATAAATTCGGTATTTTATTTTATAATTTCTGCAGCCATCTTACCAGATTTAAACTGATGATCTATAATCCGGAAAAATCGATAATCCGGAATCGGCGAAGTCCCAACGAGTCCGGATTAAAGACTTTTGACTGTAAACCTTTTATTTAAAAAGACCTTGGAATATAAAGGCAGGTTCTTATGCTAGCAAAATGAACTACAGCTTATGGTGATTCAATTAAACATGAGCAGAAAATGTGGGCTTGCACTCAAAGACTACACAATTTAATTTTAATCTAAGCTGGCTCAATAACACATCGTAACAAACTCGTAACTCATCATAACATTGTTACTGCAATTTAAAAATCAAATTAACAGAGCTGGCAGGAACTAATGCAGCGTGCAAACGGAGGCCAGAAATAAATTCTGTCTTACAACCCCAAAAACCTTAGTTTAAAAAATATCAAAATGATTTTCCTTCTGGTGAGAAAATGGAAAGGGAAAATTATGGCAAAGGCTGAAATTATAAACAAATGCTTCATTTACAATAACTGTACATATTTTCTTTCTCTTTAAGTATTCGTTTTCTTTCTTCAATACGTTTCCTATTCATTTTAGAATTTTTGGATTCACTTAAAGATTTCTGCTACTTTAAAAAACTAAATGCATACAAAAAGGTGCTAATTTTATTAATTTAGTAATATGAAAATTCAGAATAAATATGAAAAGCTATATGGTAAATGCCGGTTACAGAGCCAGTGAATAGCGCCAGCACTGTGTATGATGCACAGAGCCACAACTAGGATTTTCAGTGATCTGGGACAACTGAAAATTCTGGACCCCTTTCTGTATGCCAAGAATGAAAAACATTTCATTCTAAAATTTTGCAACATCAATTTGGCACCCCTTACCCCTTTCTAACTACGCCATTGATGATGCATTAAGACATATAAGATGAATCTTTTAAATTGCCAGTTTTCAATTTCTTTATTAACAGAAAAATTCCTTTCTATAAATGCCTCTCAGTTCTCAGTGGGGGTCGACGTAGAGAACCCTGCGAAGCTACTGGCTAGGATCTGTACCTAGGCAGCCTCGGACACGAGGTTGTAAAATTTACACACCTAGTGGTTTTGGATGCAAAGGAAAGGTCAGTCATTGGCTGGCCTGGTGGTCTGGTGAGTCGTAGAGCAGTGTGGCTCTAGTAGCCCAGGAGATACGACGCCCTTGGGTTCGCTGGATAATGCCCCACTGTGATGGGCAGGTAGCAAATTGATGACCAGAGTTGCTTTTAGCGACTCTCCAAGGTGCAAGGGCGGAGGTTGAACCTCTGTGCCTGGTTCTAAGGGGTGAAGGAATTCATTATGCGGTTCAGCCTCATGACGTGAGGAAGCCGTATGTGTCTTTAAATGCCTCTCCATGTGATAAGATTAGAAGCATTTTTGATATTTTCCGTGTTTTTGTCTAGGGAAAAGTAGAAAAAAAAAAGGGGAAGATAAACATGTTAAGAAAAAAGACTTCTAGTATAGGAAGTGAAACATGCTTTCACTTAGTAGATCCTTTTGCAGCTCCAGAATTAGAAACTGTTTTCAACATAATCAAAATTTCTAACTTTAATTTTCATTAAATTGCCGTAATAATAACAGCCCGCAAAAAAATAATAAGCTGGATCAAATCAGAACATTAAGGAACAGGGTAATCTGCTATATCATCTGAAATTCCTTGGAATCAGTAAATTTTAGCCTAGCTTAATAACATCCCCTTTACAATATTGGCTATGTATCATGAGATTGTAGACTAAAGTCAAGTTCTTCCACTAAATTTTGTCTTCCTTCTATCGTGCACCGAAGCAGTTAAGCTTTGAATTAAATTAATTTAGGGCTGATCTTTGGAATATGGTAACTGGTAGTTTGGCAACATTTTGGAGGCGATAAAGGTTACTACCTAGGACTTTGTAATAAGTGATATACAGTCCAAGTCTTTATCCTGCCGTCGGACTTCGGCGATTCGGATTATCGATTTTTCCGGATTATAGATCATCAGTTTAAATCTCGTAAGATGGCATGCAGAAATTCTAAAATAAAAAATATGAAACCGTACTATTAAATAAAACAATATGATCTAAGGTATCAAAATTACAAAAAAAAAAAAAAAACTTAATTTTATTTGTTTACTTTATTAAACATTTCTCTCAATGTAAGTTGTTAAGTTGTTCATTTTATGTGATAATACTTTCTCTTTAATCTATAAAAACAAATTTCTTGTTCAGTTACAAAGTTCCGCTGTTCAGTCCCGTTAATTGCTGTGTCGAGAATACCGACTAACTTGTCAATCGAAATTTTTTTTTTCACTAACCCTCTGCCTTCTTCATTTTTATCCATTTTTTTGCAGCATTCCACTTTTTTTTGTTGGACATCGAAACAACTTTCGTTTTGTAGATCCCTCAGCCTCGGAATTCTATTTGACATAATCGAAGTTTCAATTTCTTTTAAAATTGCTCTTACAGCTGCTAAAATAATAAGCGGGATCCAATTCGAAATTAGGACAATGCAATCATGAACATTAACTGAAATAGATAATTTTAGCTTACAAACAACCGGCCGTTAACCTTAAACACGCAGGCGAAACTATTCTGCAATTTCGCACACCATGTTGCATAGTCAAGGTCTTACGCGCTCGGTAAACGCCGTGCGCATGTGCCAAACGCCCCCCATGTGCATAAAGTTTTTTTGCTTTGATGTCCGGATTATGGGTGTCCTAATACGACTTTTACTGTACCAGTTCCGATTACTATATTTGTGTGAGGGAAATGAGATCATGGGATATGTCATGTGACATTAATGGACGAATTACGTTTTTTAATCGAAAAAGGGGAAATCGGGAAAAAATCTAGAATTTTGTATTTGGCTTTATTCTGTGTTGTGAAACAGTGTTGGTTAATTTTTGGATCCCATGCCCCTAACTAAAGTGAATTCGAAATGGGTATTTAGTGGGATTGAAAAGGGTAGTAATAAGTGTTTTTTTAAGGTTGGCAAGATAGAAATAAAGATGTTTTATTATTTATTTATTTTACCTGGTACCGCTGTGAACTATAAGTATTATTTTAAAGTCCTGAAACAGGATTCTTTTATTTAGCGGAGGAATAGAAAAGTTATCGGCCACGTAATCAAGATTCCTGAAGATTAGGTAAGTTAGTATTTTTAATTATTTGAGGATATTATTTTTATGCATTGTTCTAAATGTAAGGAGTAAATAAAGTAATTGGTATTATTGGAAAATTGTTATTAGCAATGATTTAGTTTAAAGTAATTAGGATTGTAAGGTAATTTTTATTAATTTAATGTATTGCTTATTTATATTTTAAGTAGTGTTTTTGAATTTAATTATATTTTAATTAAATGATAGTTTATTTTGGTGAATTTATGTTTGTAGAAGTTGGTTAACATTTAGTGGAAGTAAACGTGCATGGAAAATTTAAATATTTGACACTAGGTATTTGAACAATTTGTAATGTTTGCGTATGAATTTGTTGGTGACGTGTTATAATATATAGATGATTTAGAGGTAAAAGTTTTTGGATATTTTATTTATTTTATATGTGGAAATGTTCATCCTTGGAAAGGGTAATACTTTTTCGCGATCATGTAATTTCATATATGTGCTTTTTACCGATTTAAAGATTCACAAAATTGTCATGCATTTTCGTAAATTTTTTCTAATTTATGAGAAAAAAGCAGTGTACATGGATATAGTGAAAAGTGTGCGCAATGCCATTTTTGTGCAATTCTGGGATTTTTTTTTAAGTAAAAATAAGTCAACGTGTACATGGTTTAGTGATATTTTAATTAAATGATAGTTATTTTGTGAATTTGTTTGTAGGAATTTGGTATACGTTTCAGTTGAAGTAATTGTGCATGGAAATAATTTAAATATTTGACACTAAGTATTTGTAACCATTTATAATGGTTGCGGTATGAATTCGTTGGTGACGTTTATAATATAATAGATGATTTAGAGGTAAAAGTTTTTTGGATATTTTATTTATTTTATACGTGGAAATGTTCATCCTTTGGAAAGGGTATATACTTTTTCGCGATCAGGTAATTTCATATATGTTCTTTTACCGGGTTTAAAGATTCACAAAATTTCATTGCATTTTCGTGCAAATTTTTGTAATTTATGAGAAAAAAGCAGTGTACATGGATATAGTTAAGAGTGTGTGCAATGCCATTTTTGTGTCAATTCTGGGATGTTTTTTTAAGTAAAAATAAGTCGACGTGTACATGGTTTATGTGTATGTGCTTATTTTGAAAAAACGCGCAAGGAGTTTGCGATTGTGCACTTTTCCCCAATTTTGCAGTTAATATTTGTCATGATTAAGCAGTTTTTGTTACATAAAATTTCTAGCATAAGTGTAATTCGGCTAGTAGATTGTTGGAAAAAGTGTTGAGTAAATAAAAAAAAAAAAGAAACATGTCTTTACTTCATGAAGACAAAATGGCGGCAAAAAAAAAAAAAAAAAAAAAAAAAAAAAAAAGAGGGTTGCTGTAGCAGAGTTAGTCGCCAAACTTTCGCCAAAAAATCGCCAAGTTATCATAATCCAAAGATCAACCTAATTTAGTTATTTATTATACTACAGTCAAAAGTCGTTAATCCGGACTCGTCGGGAGTTCAGCGATTCCGGATTATCGATTTTTTCGGATTATAGATCATCAGTTTAAATCTCGTAAGATGGCATGCAGAAATTCTAAAATTAAAAATATGAAACCGTAATTTATGAAATAAAGAACAATTATGATCTAAAGGGTATCAAATTTACAAAAAAAAAAAAAAAAAAAAAAAAAAAGCTTAATATTTATTTGTTTACTTTATTAAACATTTCTTTTAATGTAAGTTGTTTAAGTTGCTTCGTTTTATGTGATAATACTTTATCTTTAATTCTATAAACAGACATAATTTCTTGTTCAGTTACAAAGTTCCGCTGTTCAAATCCCGTTAATTGCTGTGCCGAGAATACCGACTAACTTGTCAATCGAAATTTTTTCGTTTCAACTAACCTCTCTGTCACATTCTTCATGTCTTTATCCATTTTTTGCAGCAATTCCACTTTTTGTTCGATGGACATAGAAACATACTTTCATTCTGTACGATCCCTTGGGAGCTCCAGAATCAGAAATTCTATTTGATATAATCGAGTTCAAGTTTACTTTTATAGTATTGCTCTTACAGTCTTCAAAAAATAATAAGCCGGATCCAATTCGAAAATTAAGGGACAACGCAATCATCAACATTAACTGAAATAGATAATTAGATAATTTTAGCTTATACCGTCCGTTATACATAAAACGCGCACGCGTAAACGCCTATGCGCATGTGTCAATGCGGCGCATGCGCAGAAAGTTTTTAGCTTTGAGGTCCGGATTATGGGTGTCCGAATTAACGACTTTTGACTAATTTTTGCACATGCATAAGGCTTATCTGAATCCTGAATGAATAAATTCGCACGTGTACTTGAGGCTTAATGAGGGCCAGTGCTAGATATATTACTGCCTGATGCAGTCTCTAGGGGTCCTAAATTGTACTACCCAGTGCCTTTCTAAGTTCTAAATGCTTGCCGCTTCGAAATTTTGGATCCCAGTACTGTCCATAAATTCTAAAAATTTTGTCATGCCTTAAATTTGCTGCTGTGTGCTCCTCTAAAATCCAAAAATTTTATGTTTCCTAAATTCTGCCACTCGGTTCGGTCATATGAGCTCTGCTGCTGGTTCTAGGTTTATGCGAATAAAAAATCAGTTAGTCTTAATTCAAATAGCACTAAATGAAATATTTTGATCTAAGAGTATTATTAAGAAAATCTGTTTTAAGCATACGGAAAGACATTTTTATTAAATTTTCCCTCATCAACATTTCTTAGTGCATTTAACTTAAATCTGTAATCATAGCCAAGTGTAATGTCAACATAAAAAGTTACCATACTTTTTGCTATTCAATTACTAATATAAAAAAAAATTATTTAGGCGACGCTGCACAAGTCGTTACTCAAGTTATGTGTTGATAAATATGCAGTGATGAAAGCAAAATATAATAATGATTCACCAGGTTGGCATTAGGGACATAAAATATTAGTAGCGTAAAATCAACCAATGTTTGTATGTAAAATGTTACGTTAAGAGATGTATGCCATGCTACACATAGCTACGGAGCCAAATTATTGATTACACAAATTTATGATAAGATGAATGTTTCTTGAATAACGAGGTATTTTATGCAGTGCCAAAGGTAAATTAAGAATCGGAACTCTCCACATGTTTTATTACGAGTGAAAAAATCAAATGCGCATACACAAAGCATACAAAAAAAAAAAAAGGCGTTGGTGGCTTTAAGGTCCGGATTTTAGATCATTCCGGATAGTGGTTGTTCGGGTCTCACACTTTGTACTGGATTAGACTATCTCATTATTGATATAAAAGCCATGAAGCTGCAGATGCCAAAACCATGTGATGGAGCTCATCAAGATTCCTTCCAATAAAGCATTATAATACTAACAAACTTATACAAGGCAAATTGTCCATCACCTTAGACTAATGAGTACTCGTTTTCCTTTATACAATATTTATTCTAATGATTCTAAGCGGATAGATGTTTTACATCACATTACAAAACACAAAATTTGTTCAAATTAATTGCTCTTGCCAAATATTTTGATGAGTCATAACAGTTTAAAACAATTAAGAAAAATGAATATTGTGGGAAAAAAATGTTAATTTTATTATGGTAAACTGGAACTGAAGACATATTATCTCAAGGTATCCCTGTATTCGTTTAGCATCTCAACTGCAACTCATTTTAATTGAGATAACACAAAAAAAAAAGAAAAGAAAAGAAAAGAAAAGAATTTCATCATATTATGATTTACAGCTTTCTAAAGAGTATAATTTTAACATAATTATGCAACATTATCTAACAGCAGAAAATGAAATACAAGTTTTGCTGCAACAACTTAATGACACAAATTTAAGGAGAAAAAAAATAATAATAACTATACCCATAGGATTTTTCCTCATGAATGCAATATCCAACTGTAAAACGGCATTTAAAGTGGCCATCCATCTTGAGTAGTCTAATATCATTCCATCCTTGGGAAGTGGAGCTTGAAAGGCAAACACTAAATGATTAGGAGTGATGTTAGGATCATTTAAAATTTTTGGACTATCAAGATCACTGTCTATAACTTTGCAATTAATACTCTTTCCATTTCCTCTGGGAATATGCCATATATCATCAAATTCATCAATTCCTAACGGTCGGTCCATCAAGCACTTTGTAGCAAGAATGCTGTCGACATTTGACGGTGCAGGTGCTAAAAAATAAAATATAATAAATTATTAAATAATTTCGTACCATTGTAAATGTACTCCAAACAATTTATACTTCACTTTAATAATTATTAACAATAAAAACAGAAGCCACACACTTTGATTTCATTTTATTTAATTCCGCAATGGTCATTAGATTAAAAGTGAAAAATAAGATGCTAATTATACATTCACATTTTTAATATTACATATAAAAATAGACATCAGAAATAATGATTATACCTATTAGACCACCAATAAGGAAACAAATTACTTGGCATATTAATAGACTAGTGACAAGGTATGCCAATTTACGACCACTAAGATTTTCTAATATAGTTCCAGCCATCTTTTAAATAATATTTCTCCGGTAATGTTAAATTTCCTCAACTGTTTATATCCGAAGACGATTCAAGTGTCAAACTAGACGCGGCGTTAAATATAGACTTATTCCGTGCTTTTCCATGATACCAGTTCAGGTGCGCATGCGCAAAAATATGTAGTTACTTGAAACTGTTTGAAGTGTGTTTTTGCGCCTTATCACAAAGAAAATACATTTCAATTATTTAAGAAAATGAGCAAAGCATTGCCGAGAAAATGAATGATCCGTAATAAGTATATATGAGCTTATATAACTTTTTTTAATTAATGCTATTTATTCTCATCTTTACAGCTTTAATCCAAAAAAAATTGTTTGAAAATTTCAGGCTGTGTATGACTTGGGACATAAAATTTCGTTTCGGAAAGAAAAATAATATAGAAAATTAACAAATTTTTGAAGATGCTTATTTACCTATGGTTTTTTTCCTCAAATTGTGGTAAACTCATATGAGAATAAAGTGAATTAAAAAAAAAAAAAAAAAAAGGAATCGTTTGCCTGGAAGAAAAAATTACTCGTATATTTAGTAGTAAACTTTTTTCAGTCTAAATTTTATGTCAGTATGTATGTAACAGTAAACGAAACAGAAAATATAAAATAAATTCAGGAAGTAAATATGCATGATTTGTATGTATAGATTATAAATCAAAATATATTATATACATTTTGTATACATACATTTCTGAATACACACAAACATTTCTGAATGTGGTCCCAATAACAGAAGAGCACAAACCTGATTTCTATAAACACTGAAATGTAGAACTCAAATTCAATAATCAGAGTCGTAGCTAGGGTTTTCAGCACCAAGGGACAACTGAAGATTTCGCGCCCACTACTGCTTGCTAAGGATGGAAAACATTTAATTCTAAAATGTCGTAACATCAGTTTGGCGCCCCTTGGATTCTGCGCCCGAGGACAGATGCCTCCTCTTGCCCCTCTCTAGCTACGCCTCTGTGGCTAATCCAACTCTGGTAGTAGTTTTCCACAAACATCCACGGCTGTATATGAAGAACTGATATCTTCTATTACAGATGATGAGTTGGGTTCAGTTTATTTAATTATGGCAAAGCATTCGAGGGTTACCTGTCTAAGGGAAGGGAGGCCTTCGTGAAAGGCTTTCTAAGGGAAATTGGACTGTATATAGGCTACACATATGAAAAACATAAAAACGCTTAGTTAGCAGCCAATCTACTCGACGGGATTCGAACCCCGGCCCGAGTTCATCGGCTTTACCGCTTGGCCACTGGAGAGCTGTCTTTAGATGATGGGAGATCTATGCTAATGACCCCCATCATCTGGTAGTGGTGACAGTGGGTGAAATCCTAAGATGCATGCAATCTATTACTGGACATCCAATATGGCTAAAGACTTGGCTAGAGTTTTCAGCGCCTAAAGACAACTGCAGATTTCGTACACCCTTCTGTTTTCTAAGTATGGAAACTGTTTCATTCTAAAACTTCGTCAGTTTGGCATTTTCTTGATACTACGCCCAGGGACAGATGTCCACCCTCGCCCATCTCTAGCTATACCACTGATATCGCTACGAAACAATCTGATGGTGTTTTCATCGCTTTGCGGACATTGATGCCTTCTCGTCGGAGGCAGTACCTTCTGTAGTGTTGCAAACAAAAGACTCCTTTCCCCCCTCGCTAAGCCACTGAGTAGCTCAGCAATGGAGTTGAGTTTTAAGGATGATAGCAGCAGTCTCTGGCAAGAATAAACAGGGGCAGATGGGTGTCATCCAGTTTCTAGGACAATAGAGCAGCCGCTGCAATATTATATCAGGGATTATCATCCAGGTTCAAGAATAAGATAACATCTTTAATCTTACAATTAGCTTTAATCTTCCGATATTTAGATTATCTAGCCATTCTGGACGTCTAAATATCTAGATAAAGCAGAGATTACTCAGTCGTCCCTCTAACATCATCGAAAGGAAACAGTTTGCAAGTGCTCAAATTTTCGTTTGTGGAAGTGAAATGCTTGGTCGCTATATGAAGCTCCATACATCTGAAGAAGATTAATTCACTACTGACTGCGGTTGTGCTAATGTTCTTCTCAAGTGCATCTTTTCCAAGATTCTTCGCGAACAATAGTGCTACAAACTGTGGTATACAAACTGTCGCTAGCTTGTTAAGGACTGAAGATATAGCACCTGTCTTAGCGTAGGCATTCTGAAGGCTGTCGTATGCTCCAACTTAATATATGGTGTATGGTCTAGGGACTTTTGACAGCCCGTCGCCAGTGCCTTTCAATGCTTTCATAGCTGTAATCAGCCCTGCAAGAAGAATTGAACATAATTTCTCAGAAATTCGTGGACGATCTCGTACAGAGCATGAATATACAGTAGAGAGACTGCATCACAATTAAGTAGGATTATATCCCCTAGTGATAATTGCATTTGTGTTACCCTTATCATATGGGCATTCACCTTCTGATTTGAGCAGAATACAGATGTACTTCGAATCTGCTTTTGTATCCTTTGCATTCCTTTCTTAGTCAGTGTTGTCACATTTCTCATTGTCTAATACGTTGACGATGTTATACTATGCTTTGCACCATTCTAATTACTGCTTGCACATGAGACTTAACATGTGAAAATCTGTCTGTCTCTACCAATATACACCAATACCTGACAAAGAATCCAAGTACGATATTTCAGTAGGATAATGAACGCCACTCATAGCTTATTGACCCAAAGACTGGCTACGTCATTATTTACTGACACTTACACAACCTACCTGCTCCACAAATATGTCCCCTATTGAGCATAAACCTACCAGTAAATTTGGTGAATACTGTTAGTTCGACTGGTTTGAAATTCCAGCGAACGGGCTGGTCGCATGGGAGTTTTTGATGTTTTCTCTTGTGCAATGTGAATGCCAGCCAGTTTTCTTCGAAAAGTCCATCATGAAGCCATCAAGAATCTTTGCTCTTCTTAGACAAATAGTCCTTCAAGTGCTTTTCTAAAATCAAACAAACCAAATCGAACCTTTAAAAAGTGCTCCACAAAAGCATCCCTGTTCTTAGGCAGAAAGCCCTTGCGTGCTTTGCCGTGATCAAAATAATGTGACTTAAGCTCTATCTGGCCTGCGTAGGCTCAGTTGCTTCGATGTCCTCAATGTGAAACACAATATCTAGCAAGTGTGGAATGTTTGCCATAGGATTATACGAGTGCCTGTTCAATTTTATGCCTCAATGCATTGTAGTCAGTACTTAATTTCTAAAAGAAGAAGGACTAGAGTCCTATGAAAGGTCGTCAGCAAAGATAAAAATAAAGAAAAATAAAATAAAATGTAAATTAATAAATAAAATTAGGTAATTAAATTTAATTAATGAAAATAGTTCAGTAGAAAATTGAAATACCGGAACTCATCTTAATTTAGACTCCAACTGGAATTATACTTTTGCTCAAAGAGTGAGAAGTACTGGGACTGGATTTTAGGTGGATTAAAGACGTGACTATGACTTGATATCGTACTGAAGATGATTGCACTGCATGCATATCCTTCTTTAATTGACCTGCTGCTCTGTTTTGATGAGCAGATCTCAAAACAAGAGAATAGAGCATGGATCACATATACTAGCTAAGTTCAGAATCCAGAAATCAAACAGAATTAACATTTTTTATGAAGAGCATTGCTTATAGATTATAGGCCACATAATATCATGATAAAAGGTGTTTATTACGCTAACCTGTTGACTCAACTTGTACAAGGCCCACCAGCGGCCGAGAGGTAAATCCGCTGAATGCTAGTAATTCGCTCAGAGTTTAATCTTGACGAATAGGCTGGCTGCAGAGGAGATTTTGCTGTTTTCCTCATGTATAAAGTGAATCAGAGCCAGTTTCCCTTATATTGTTCCTTTGAAAAGGCATATCTTCTCTTAGACAGATAGTTCTCACATTTTTGACGTAATAATCCAATACAATTCCTATTAACTATAAATGTAAAACTGTGTAGCAAATTCAGCAGTAAAATGCCGCTTTGCATAAAAACGCGGCAGCACATAAGACTAAAATTTGCCAGATTGCTGTTCCAGGAATGAGAATTTCAGCTTATACCCTATCCACAATGTTCACCAGACTTGTCATCAAATGATTTCTTTTTTGTTTCAAAAACAGAAGAAGTATTTGTATATTTGATACTGCAGTCTGATGATGATTTGAACTTTTTCTTGCGGTCCATAAATCAATACTGTCACTAGTGTCTTTTGACGTTTTAAAAAAGTATTTTGAAATAAAAAAAAAAAAAAAAAAAAAAAAAAAAAAAAAAAAAAAAGTCAAAAAAAAAAAAAAAAAAAAAAATTTTATCGTTTCCTGCCATTCTCAGATAAAACCTTGACTTGGCCGGCTGACTTCGAAAGCTACATTTTTTTCCTTAAATCGACTTTTTGAATCAAAATGAGCTAGATGTTACTCAGTTAAAATGCAAAAGAGTTATAAAATATGATTGCATGTCCACAGAATTTGCTTCATTTGGAGTGCAGTTAGAAAACTGGTGAATGAATCAGGTTCAAAATGATAAAAAAATTGATTTATTAAAATTCACAAATGAATAATTTAAAATTCGACTTTTCATTTTTTAACTTTCACTTCACGGTCTCAAATATATCAAACGTAAGTTCGCTTTGATATAAACAATTTAAAATTCATAACGCTATAACATCGTAGACAGATAAGGTATATGAGCAAATTTACACAAATACTCATATTTAATATTCCTTAAGTTCCCATATAGCATACGCAGAGACTATATATATTGTTCTCGCAGGGTACTGCACATTTTTCTCTTATCCATTTCGAAATAGCCTAATAAATCTACAGTGGCGTCCGAACTAAAAACAAAGGTGGTTGTTGATGTTTCTCTAGCATCATGATTTTGCGATTGGGTCCCCTAATCCCCAGTCGCCCTTTAAAAGCGGGACTATATAAGGTGTTTCTCCAGCCTTCTTATAAGAGTTTAAAACAGCTTTAGTGTAGAATTGGGTGCCCCTTCGATTGGCGACATTTTAAAAAAAAATTTGGCGATGAAGCCTCACTTCTGGTTACCACGATAGTTTGTTTTAGC